AAAATAGATCAGAAGTATTTTTATAGTAAAATTCAGGGCAAATTTGCCCTGAATTTCAAACGGTTTAAGGGATAATGATCGTTGGTTGCAGTACGGATCCGGGTGTAGGCGGCGGAGTTTGTCTTGGTTCGGCCGCAATATCGGTACAATATTCACTAGCATTACCAACGATAATGTCCAACTTACTAGAAACAACAAGATGACGGTTGCTCCAAAGTAGCAACAGGTAAGACAATATTGCTGTTACCGATGCATGGACTGGACTAGGCATTTCATATGCGATTACTTCTCCCCTAACTAAACGGACATAGATGTTAAATCTTTTGAGTTCCCCTCCCCGACGAAACTTTCGGTATCTTTCAAGCGATACGTCACTAATAATTACAATTTTGCTTGACTCTTCTGCTGTCGTTGTACTCTCTTCTGCTGTTCTCTCCTTCCTATCAAGTTCGACCAGTCTGTTCCACGCTAATTCCAAATTTTCTTCTATGTTGCTTATTGGCATTGTGAGAAAGATTTTTTTCGATCAATGATTACTGATGTAGTTTTATATACACGAAAAAATTCTGTCAATCATTGTGGCGCAGATCTCTAAACTTAGTGACTTGAACCGAATAAAAATCGTCAACCGGTTAACCGAACCGATCAACGGTTACACCTGGCTCAACCGAATTTATTTCGGTTAGTTCGGTTAATCCGGGTTAGCCGATTTAGCTGGATCAACCGAGTTAACCTCTTCGTCTGATTGGCTAATAAATTCAATTTAATTTTATAGAGTACTTTTTAAAAAACGAAAACCAACCATAATAAAGTAAAAAAAAAACTATATAGAATGTTTCATTAGAATTGTAGGGTTCCATAGTCAAAAATGAGATCTAATTCTCGCCCGTTTAAAAAAAAATTAGCTTAGAAATAAGTTGATTTTATCGGGTTTTGAGAAGTTATTACTATATTGGCTTTTTTAAACGGACGAGAATTAGATCTAATGAAACTTTCTATACAGTTTTTTTTATTTCATTATGATTAGTTTTTAAAAAGTACTCTAAACTGTATAAATAATGTAAAATTAAATTGAATTTATTAGCCAATCAGACAAACTTCTGC